TCACAGTATCCACAGTATCACAGTATCACAGTATCCACAGTATCACAGTATCACAGTATCCACAGTGTCACAGTATCACAGTATCCACAGTATCACAGTATCACAGTATCACAATGATGAAATGATTCTCTAAGAAGACAACCTTTTCCTGTTTCAAAGCACTGGAGACGAGCACGCTCAGGGCAACTGGGGTTTCTTGGACCAGCTAGCAGCACTGAGATGGGTGCAGGAGAGTATCGAGGCCTTTGGCGGCGATCCACAAACTGTCACAGTGGCTGGAGAATCGGCAGGAGGCATCAGTGCATCAATACTGGTGAGAAAACAAATCAGCGGAGGAACAGAAACGTGTTAGTCACATACATTTACACATGTAGGTGAGCCATACCAGAGCTAATTACTGAGTGCACCTTGATCATGTTCATGCATATGTGTCCTTCCGTATGAACAGACTCTGTCTCCACAAGCAGAAGGACTGTTTCAGAGGGCAGTCTTTCAGAGTGGAGTAGCAACGCTTGGGACCTACACGACAAGACATCCTTTGGGTCATGCCAAGGTACTGTCATATGTACACTGAGCAGATTAGCATGTTTTGAACATGTACTTGTACCAACAGTACTTAAAGCTGTATTCTTTTTTTATGTTTGGGCCACTTGGTGAATTAAGACAAAACACAACAATGACATATTATAACCTGATAAAGTTGTCATGGCAAAGATGTTAGTCAACAGTTCCCAATTTAAATATCTACCAGACTTAAAGCAATATAAGATTGTCATTAAAGTCTTGTTTGTGTCCACCTGATGAATGTAAATCGAACTTTTATTCTCCTTTTAGCTCTGTGTTGGTCTCCACCAGCTCCTGAGAACAACATCTCTGTCTCTTTAGCTGTTAGAGTTCACCAGCTAGTCACTGACTTTGTCCGTCTGCTGTTTGCTGCTGGACAGTAGTGTACAGTGACTTCATCAGAACCTAGTCAGAGGTTGATGAGAGTTCTGTGCCAGAAAAAGATCCAGATTAGAATAAGAAGCTCCGTAGAGCTGAAGGGGACCAACGAGTTACCTCATGTAAATTACACATAGCCATTTGATTTATTATTGGTCTTAATATAAATGTTGAAACGTTAAACAGAATGAACATTTGTAAAGTAGAGGTTCAGAGGCTTGAACATTTTCAGCTACCATCTACCAAACCCCCATTAATACTAACGGATGATGTGGCTCCTTAGTGCAATGGCCAATAAAGATAAGTATATTCTTTTAGCAACTTCCACACGTACCAGAGTAAAATAAGTGCGGACTTTCACTTTGTCTAGAGAATTATTGTATCAGGATACGTGTGCACGTACTTGTGTATTTATGCCTTTTTATGGATCTCTTCCTCATACCTAGATTGTTGCCAACCTCACTGGATGCGACCGCAGCAGCACAGAGGAACTGGTCCAGTGTATGAAGGGGAAGAGTAAAGAAGAGCTAGTTGATGCAACTAAAAAGGTACATGGTGTCGTGAAGATGTGCGAGCAGATGCTGTAGAAAAGTATTTAGCTCTGATTTGATCAAGTGTTTTATTGCATTTCCTGGATCTTTCTGTCGTTAGAGAGTTCGATTAGGAGGCCAACACTTTACAGTGGATTACTGTAAAACCAAAAATAACATATTTTATGAAGCTGGTATATCACGGAGGGGGAACAGACTAACAGAAACCTCACCCAAAATGAAATTCTAATTTTGTCAAGGTTCTGTGTAAAATGCCAGATCTGAATTGAAAGTGTTGTCCTTAACTGTAGCCACCAGATGGCAGCCTGTGAACACGCCTGGCTGCTGAAAAGCCATAGAAAGTTTGGCTCACGTTCATCCACTCTGCCGTGTTCAGTCGCAGTAAGCAGTGTCCTGTGTTTAGATGAGAATCTACCTGGGAGCCGTGGTGGACGGAGTGTTTCTCACCGACACAGCCGAGGAGCTGCTCAAGAGGAAAGAGGTGTTGAGGGTTCCGGTGATGATGGGAATAACCAACCATGAGTTTGGATGGATCCTGCCTCAGGTCACACAGCAGTCTATTCACACATAGTACACTTAACACAGCCTCTGTGACAAGTCCAGTACCTGCTTTTCTTGATCTTGAAGTATTTGTACTTCATATTGAACTAATTCTGAAGCGTTGTCCCATCTCAGAGCTTCGCCCCTCCTGGCTGGGAGAACGGCATGAGCAGAGCGTCTGTGCTGGCAGTGATGAACATGTTCTATCCTACTGGGGTACGATGTATGAGCACTGATGCTGCTGTTTGATGATTGATTCATTTTAATTGAGTTGTTTTTTATATTTAGATTTATTTGATGTGACATTTGTTAAGTTATTCAACAGTTTATATTGAATTTCAGTTTTCCTGATGTCATTAGCTTAGAGGTCCCTTCCAGACATCAGATAATCCCTCATTAATGAAGATTGTCTTTCTTCCTCAATGCAAAATGCAGAACCTAAAGATGTTGTGTTTGTGTACGTGTGAAGAACTAAACATCATTGAAAAGCTTTCTCAGTATAAGTGTACATGTTTCCACATCACACTTGTCGAGTAGCATTTTGAGCCATAAGCGGCTTCCAAACAAGTTGTGAAGTCACGGCCTGCTCGTGTCAGACGTAGCTCAGTGAAGCTCAAACATCCAGCCGAAGGAACAATAAGCAAAACACATCTTTGAGTTCAGGCCGTCTTTAAAAGAGTCGTGTGGGGTCGCTGGTGATCACTTGTCAGGGTCGACAGTGGCTCGAGGGGTTCAGTGGTGGAGCAGTCGTCCTTCAATCAGAGGATCGGCGGTTCGATCCCCAGCTCTGCTCATCCATGTCTGTGTCCTTGGGCAAGAGACTTAACCCTAAATGACTACGCTGTCCCTGCAGTGTATGAATGTGTGTTAATGATGACATAGTCCTGATGGGCAGGTGGCACCTTGCATGGTAGCCCCTCATCAGTGTATGAATGGGTGTGAATGGGTGAATGATGACATGTAGTGTTAAAGTGCTTTGAGTGTTCAGAAGACTAGAAGAGAGAAATACAAGTAGAGTTAATTTACCATTTAATGTTAGAGCTGAAAACATTCCGACTTGTTATATTAAAAAGAATCTTAATGTAATGTTAGTAAGTATGTACCTGTATGTACATGACCACTGTAATACAGTTTAAGAAATGAATGCAAATTGCCATATATTTGATTAGATACTGCCTCATTTGCATATTAAACATCCATTTTCAGATAATTTGTAATAGTTGTCTTGATGAGTCATCATGGGGACGTTTCATGTTGATGTGCCTTAGTTCATTAGTTCATTAGTTTATTCACCTGTAGCGTCTCCTATTAATGCTGCAACATTTTGACCAACAAGGTCGTCAGGCAAACCCATTGATCACATGTTGCTCACATCACACGTGAACAGTGTGCACAGTCAACGGGATTAGAGCTCATGAAGTCATCTTTCTTGGCAATGAGAATTTGCCACAGAAGGGAAACCTGACGGTCCGACCCTCCTTCCTGCTCCAGGCCTCCTCTGCCAACAATCTCATCGCCGACGAGTACATGAAAGATGCCAAAACACCGGAGGAGATCAGAGACGCGTTCACCGAGATCGTGGGAGACCTGCTGATGACGCTGCCTGTCGTCATGGTGGCCGGATACCACTCAGGTCAGAGAGCAGCTGGAGAGAGTGTGTACGGGCCGTTCTGTGCTGTTAGAGTGTAGATGACTTGATGCTGCTGTAATGCCATGAGGGAAGCCTCCTCGAGTTCACACATCACTCTGAGTTGATTTTTGATCTCACACGTGCACCCCTTGTCTGTCTCCTCCGTGTATCCAGACGCGGGCGTTCCGGTTTACATGTATGAGTTTGTGTACCGTGCTGGGATTCACAAAGACACCAGACCCAGCTTCGTAAAGGCAGATCATGCAGATGACGTCGGCTTCATGTTTGGTGGATGTTTCTGGAGTGGACATATACAGATCATAGGTGGGTTATACGTCTTGTGTCATTACAAACGAGTGAGGGGTGAAGTAGGATGAATATCGGGCATGGCCACTTGGTGGGATAAATAAAGGAATGAATGTGACCGTATGGATTACAGCATGAAAGCACTGAAGTCACTTCAGTGACTTCATGTTCATCAGGACTTGTTTTAAAGTCATCTTGTTCCATCTTCAGGCAACATCACCACGGAGGATGAAAGACTCTGCAGGACCATGATGTCATACTGGGGCAGTTTCACAAGGACTGGGTGAGTGGGCATTAACAATTACTTATTTATATTATGATCATTTACTTCTATTTGACTCTGCAGCTGCACTCAGCTCTATGGAGATCACTGTTTTGGTTTTATGTTCAGTAGATGACTTGTAAAAGGTATGAAGCTGCAAGCATGCAGACACACAGAAATGAATTCTCAAAGCTGACCATATAGAATCATTAAAACACACGATTCTCTTCATGTTTGTATGTGTCTGCAGCTCTCCCAACGGCCCTGGGCTCGTCGTCTGGCCTCAGTATGACAGACAGAAGCAGGAGTACCTGGAGCTGGGTCTGACGCAGACAGTGAGACAGAACCTGAGGAAGGACCGGGTCCATTTTGCTACTGTCGTCCTGCCTCAGAAGCTGGAACAGTTGGCAGCAACAGCAGCAGCCGAAGCTGCAAACTGATCTCCGCAGGCTGCCATGTTGTTTGTATCGGTCCAAAGTTTGAGCATTCTTATGTCTCCTCACTGAAAATCACTAACAATGTGAATCACTGCCTCCCCCCCGCTATCTCTGGTTTAGAAAGGATTCACTGGCTTTCTTTGGCAAGTCTTTGAAGTGTCTCTTTTGACTTTCTGTAAAATAGCTGTCAATAAAGAAAACCCTTTCATTGCAAAGACACGAAATGTGTCTCTTGTGAACACACACCGATGGCGTCATGGTTTGTAGACGCAGTTTGAAATATCTCCAAAATTTGAGAGCTAACAGAAATCATGAAGGTGAGTGAGTGAGAGTAATAAATGAATATGATGTTCATATGACGTTCAGCCACCATATAAAATATTCAAAAGATGTGCAAACTAGCAGAAGAAATATAGTTACCGGTATACATCATCATGTGCTTAAGGTTAAGACAGAAAAATATGAAATATATAACAGGACAAACAATAGTAAAAGTCTACTTCTTAACCAGTTACACTGCAAGAAGATCAGTGTTTGTAGACCAGAAAACATTTATTTCTGTCAAAATAACTACAAACACTACGAAACAGTTCAACATTTGACATTACATTCATTTACTGCAGTATTCTGTATGAACCACGTGTCCACTTAAAATAGTATGATGTTAGGTGTAAATCTGTAAATAAGTCAAGTTACATTTAAAAAAGCCAGCGGGCCAGAGTTACTTTAGTTATTTTATTTCAGTTTGTTTTAATTCCATAAAAACTTGCAATGTATTAAGCACTTAAAGAAGGTCATATCAAAGCAGGAATAGAGAAGATGTTATTGTATAGATAATCACAGGGTGTGTGTGTGTGTGTGTGTGTGTGTGTGTGTGTGTGTGTGTGTGTGTGTGTGTGTGTGCCCCCAAAGAAACAAGTGTACAGTTCATTTAGGAAACTCCTAAATGATAGTCTAATCTTACTTCTACTCTAAGATTTAATACTGAATTAATCATTATTTTTCTAAATATTTGACGAGAATATCGACAAACCTAATCTAATCACAGTTTACACACTGTTTTCTTTATGCAATTTAATATCCCAGCCTTTTAAAATTAAATTATTTTTGACAAATATCCAAGGAATGCATTAAATAGTCAGTGGAAGGACTTGAATTAAAAACGTTTTTATTACAATTGAAAGAAAGAATTAACAACTACTCAAAATAGAATCTGTTGTCAGTCGAGGTCACAATTTAGCCACCGTGCTTTTATTGTGTAGGAAACATCCGGTAATATAAATGCCGATTTAACGCAGCCCTGCTGCTATTGGCTGCGCTGCTCGTCGACGTCATTGGGTTCCCCCCTCGTCGTGATCCGCCTCTCTCTGCGCTTGCGCTCTTCTTCCCTCAAGACCCCAGTGAGCAGAAAGCTACGACGCACGAGCAGCTGAGAGGAGCAGCCAGCACGGGACGTCTCATGTACGTACAGCTGTTTCTTCTGACGTCGTTTCATAAAATATACATTTTCACATTCGAGGCTCATTCGTCTACGACTCGTCACCGCCATGTTTGCATAGCTTTCCTGTGTATCTTTGAATGGTAGCGGGGTCACACGGCGGAGCGTCGCTTCTCGTGATGTTATCGTTATCGTTGAGATAAAACGCTTTAATGTGCAGCCTGCTTGGCCTCACGTGCGGGTTCAGCTGCGGGACTGACGCGGGGTGTCCCTGTTCTTGTGAAAACAGCAGCGCTCCGTTCCAGGAAACGTCAGCCTCTCTCCGTGTTGACTCAGAGCTGCTTCCTCTCCCAGCACCGGGCAGCGCTAGTGGTCGGTGCTCAGCGACCTGGTTCTACCATGTGTTCTCAACTCCTCGTGTCTGAATAACGTCACCTCTCCTCAGACAGCGGGAACCGGACCTCATTCAGTGCGGTTCAATACAAGACGAGCTCGCTTATTGAGAGCTATGTATAAGCGGGTTGACCCTTTTGTATTCGGTGGCTGTATCATTACTGTAGCACTTGTTCAACAAGCTGCTTCTTCCTTCACCACGGCCGGTTGTGTCTGCTGATATGTTGGAACATGTCCTGCTGCTTCCACCTCACTGGAGAAGATCTCCTCACACTCTCCTCTAAAGAGCAATGCATTATGCAGCTATCATATTGTGTAATGGGGTCTGGAATAAGAGGTACACCTGCAGACAGCCCTTCATAACATACTGTAGTAGGGAGACCGGGGGCAACACTCGTTTCCTCCCAACACAAACGCGCTGCAGGTGACACGCGCTCAGTCGGATGCATGTGGAGAGGCAGCTGATCATTTCACCTCGACACACTTTCATACTTATTATATATACTTATACAAATCAAAAAATGATTCGAGGTATGAAAGCTACTTCCTGGATAAACCTCTGCTGTCTGAAGTTTGAATGGCTGCGAATTTAAACTTAAAGCAGTTTGATCTGGAGTTTATGAGTTTACTGGTGACCAATGAACATGAAGAAGCGATGGTGGTGCTAGCACTGAACATTTTTCACTAAATTTAAATGTCATTTATGTATATACATGTGTGTGTGTGTGTGTGTGTGTATATATAT